ATAAAATGATGTTAGTAGTGCATATATCGAACTTGGATCGTGGCTCCATCCAATTCGACTTGGAGCCGGCTCAAATAGAATTGGATCGATTTCAACTTGGCTAATTTGAATTTGAATCAACTTGAAATTTAGTTAATTTATTTTTTAAAAAGTCATAATTATGTTAAATTTTTATAATAAAATAGAATTTTACAATTTAAGATTTCAATTTAACATTCAATTTAGGATCTAACAAACTCAGCACTTTGCATATAGAGGATTGGACCTTGAACAGTTTTCAGCTTAATCATGTTGAGTCTAACATAGAGGATTGGGTTTTAGGAAGTTGTCAATTTATTAGCCCCATTAACTCAACCTTTTGCATGTAAAAAATTTTGGCCCTTTGATATATATCAACTTAACTGTGTAAACTCCCCCCTTTGCATGTAGAGGAGTAGGATTTAAGAAGCTTTCAATATATGGGCCTTATTATGATGTAGAGTCTATAGGATCATTAGTGAAGGTAGCAAAATGAATGGGTGACTTCAGAAGGTGGTGGTGAAATGGGTATTAAGAGTTTGAACAAATTTGGTACTAAAACTTTTAGGCTATATAAATGCAAGTTTTTTTTTTTTGGATCTTGGGCATCACCTATTACTTGTCCGACATGATATGACATATTCAGTGAAAGAGTTGTGTTGCGACAAGTAGTTAGAACACTCGCCATTTTAAGGGATGACACGAGGAAGTTGAAGTCAATCCTTTATGAGGAGTTAGCATATAGATAGGCGGCCAATAAGAAGATGGAGTCTTGAAGGTCAAGTTGGCTAGGAGAGATGTAACAATCAAAATTTGTGGAAATAATTGAAAAAAAAAATAAATATGAATTCCTATTTGAATTGCAGTGCAGCGGAGAGAAAGAGAGAAAGCTAATTTTTAGTGGCCGGTTCGCTTTGCCGTTTTTGTAAAAATTTATCAGGTCATTGTAGATAATTTTAATACTGTCTTTATTTTTAAATATTTTAATTTTGACTATTTAATTCACCCCATAAATAATTTTATTGTATTTTATCTGAATTTATTGAATTTTTACCACACAACTTTTTGTATTTTATCATACTGATTATCTAGGACATTTTGATTGAATTTCAACCGTTAAAATGAAAGTTATTGTATTTTGTACTATTTCAACTTATTGAATAAGTGATATTTTTATTGTCAGCATACTCTTAAAACAAATATTGAAAATGAATGTAGGTATGTGGTTGAGTAATAATGTATTTTTATTATTGTTATAGTACTTTGATAATAATATGTGTGAGGACTAATCAAATTAAAGGTGGTTCTGCTGACATTGGCTAGAGATTGATTGACTTTTATATGATGGCGGACCGACGAGCTTTTCTTTAAATATTATGGTTCGGTGTTATCCTTTTACTAATTTACATGATATTGATTGGGAGTTATAAAAAGTTATTATTATCCCGATAGGTAAAGAGTAATAACTCTATTTACTGAGCCAACAAGATATTAATACAAATTAATGCTTACTGGAAAAATACTGCTTAAATTAGGTACTCTCCTTACTTTTTTAGTGTAACTACTAAAATATATGTTATGGATTCAATATTACTGTTATTATATGATTTTACTACTTTATTATATTGATATTGATTGAGCTATGATATATCGAGCATGTAATTAAGGCACTAATATATAATAACTGAATAATATGTATACACTCATATATGATTTTACTGCATTGATATGATTTCGATAGTCTTTACTAATCATTTAATTTTATCGCTTTATTCTATTTCTTAACTAATTGATTGTACTGATACGATAATTGCTTTAATGATTCGACACCCATACTAGTTTATTGATTTATATATTGTACTATTTGACCAACTTTTGTACGTACCGCATCACTTTATTGGTTATAAACTTTACTACTATTGCATGTGTGTTTTACTATTTTTGTATTGATTTGTGATCATATTAATGCTACTATTATAATTTGATTATTGATATGCATATTATTTTTTTATCGTGCTTTGAGTTCAGTTGCAGGTTTTGATTTCTCGTTGGGCTCTTGAGCTCATTATATGTGGTTAAATAATTTCTTGTCAAGACAGTGGAGCAGGAGTGTGAGATTGATCGGGATCCTTCAGATCTAAGTTCTTGTTATTTTAGTTATTCTTTTATACTTGTAACAGAGTAGTTATGATATGATTTTATAGATTCTAAGTAGTGTATATATTTTTTTTGTGAAATGAATACATATGTATATATTAATGCTTTGAATTATCTAATTTGTTTTTGTTGTATATTACTTATATATGAAATTAGATGACTTTAGATGTTGTATAATAAAATATAAAAGAAAGAAATCTTTCAAATTAAATTCCGGGGCTTGACAAGTGATGCAGCCCAGCAAGAGAAGCAATGAAGGTAGGACACCTTCTTGAAGGAAGTTGACGAGCTACTATAGGTTACTGTTGAATAACTCACTTGGGAAGCTAGTGACTTCAAGGAAAAGAAAGGAGAAGTTGATGGCTTTCTCTAACACTCCATTGTACCAAGAGGTTATCTTGAAACAGTACGATGTGAGAATTGAGTACTACTTGCAGAAGCTGATCACCTCCAACAAGCTCGATAGTAAGTTTTTCTGAAGACAAAGGCTTCTTCTATGAGCTGATGTTAGACTCCATTGAAGAATGCGACGAGGTGAGCTCAAATAATCATTGAGGTCGTCCTCCTTTTTTTTTTTTCATATTTTTCTTTTGCAATATGCATATATAATGACATTTAAAATGAATGAAAGAATATTTTTTTGCTCACTTGTCTCCTCATTTATGTGTATGACCTTCTTTGAATTCTTCTAGGTTATAATTTGGCTTTCTTATATGGATGAATAAGGCAGGGTAAAAAACATAATAAGACTTGTTCCTTCATGATAAATTTCTTCAAGTTTTTAACTCGCCTAACTCTTGTGAATGAATGAACATGATAATATTTACTTGCTGGTGATATGCAAATTTATCCAAGTTTTAACTCTTCATTGTATCTCTAGATTGACATCGATAACTCAACATTATGTCACCTCAAGTGGGCCTGAATTTGTTTTGACATTATAATCTTCATGAGGATAACCACCTAGACCAACATGTAGGAAGGGATTCATACACTGATTAACACGAATCTTATCGTATAGAGTAACCATCTAAACTCACATGCTATAAGTGACTCACAAGCTACTTAATATGGATTTTGTTGTGTAGGGGGGGAGTTGCCTAATAGGGTTATTCCCATGCGGGCGACAATTTTTCATGTGGGGTTTTCCTAAAACTTGAAAACATATGAGCATGGAGTTAGTGTATTGTACAAGCATAGTTAAAAGAAAGCTTGATGTTTTTTCTTCTAAACATTTTTAACATAGAGGATTGATTAATGCGAGATTCTCATAATTACATGAACTTTCCAAAGCAACTAAGCTAGAATACGACCATAATTAAGTGACAATAGGGCTCATTTGATTCATCTCGTCGAGACATTCAATTTGGCTATAAGAATGTAAGATTTGAAGATTATTTGATCCTCCAATTAGTGTATTAAAGTTTCTTATTATACTACAAATACTTGATCTGAGCTTATTTGAACATAGATATGATCACTTTTGATGTTGTTAGGTTCTGCATATCGAGACGTTCAATTTGACTATAAGTTTGGTGAAATCATATTTTAGATCTTCCTATATTTAATTTTGAAAGTTTTAAATTTAAATATGCAGTGAGATTCATGCTCAATTAGATATTTGGCAAATTTATCATACATATTTAATATCTAAAATTTTATATTACTAAGCATTATATATATATGCATATTTCATTATCGATAAATTTAAATTAATGATTTTTTTAATATTTTTTTAGAGCTAAGTGCCTCACTTATATATATAAGAAGAGTTTACATTTTACATATCTAATATCATTTTTTTTATTGCATTACTTATATAACATCCTAAAGTCTAAACTAATCAAAAGATTTATATAAAAATGTGCATTTCAATTTAGAACAATTAAATCTAATGATATTTTTTATATCAATTAATGATTGTAATCTTGTTAAAATAAATATAAATATTTAGAAGTTAGATATGTAAATATATAAAACTATTGTGATATGTATGTAAATCCCTCTTAACAAATGATTAGTTGATAGTGTGGTTAATGTTGACAATACACATAACATTAAATTAGTTGAGGGCATTAGTTCGAATGTATGTTAAGTAAAACAAATGCAAGGTTTTAAAATGTAAGGAATTTGATTAAGAGAAAAATAAATATAAAATATTTAATTGAGAAATTTGGAATCCCCACCTTGGTTCCTTTTCAATGTATTTTGAATTTACTCAAACCACATGAAATTTAAAAGATGCCGCATTAGGCAACAAATTCAGAGTAATTGTGAAGTTATTATGAAAAATAATATATATATTGTTGCGTCCTGGAATATTCGCGGCGGTTGAGAAATATATAGTTTAACGTCTTAGCGTTGTACGAAGATCCAGCACACAATCAGATAAGTGAGAGGGTGTAGCGTTCATAAGAGACACCAAAGTTTTTACGTGGAAAACCCCTGATACAATCAGCTAAAGTTTGAATTACATAGCCTTTATTTCAAATTTTTTTCTCGTCAAGATGAGTGCCTCACCCGTTGATGTGGCACATCATAATAGTAAGTAGATAATTCCTTCAGTGGGAGAAATTATTACGTGCGATCACTGAATTATCCCGAGGTGAATTATGATGCGCCACACATCACCCAGTACACAACGATATATAAAACTGGTACACTGCAAAAAAAAATGACGTATCTGATTCATCTCTGAATAGCTTCCGGTGACCGCACGAAATAATTTCACCTTCAGTGGACCATTTCTTTTGTCTGCAATGTGTAACAACGGAAGAAAATATGCCCCACTTACATATTACATAGAGTAGGGGACTATTGAGTGCAAGATAAAATTGGGTTGGAGATAGAAACACGAGGAAACCAAATAGTAATACATTGGAAATATAAAACATAGGACCGCAAGTTTCAGGAAATTTACAAAACAGCACAGACAAACATTTCAGAAATTATATAGCCAAGCAATGGATCAAAAGCAGTATGCATCAAGTCAAGTCATTTTACACAGGTCTGGTGTTAATCGGAACTTGAAGTTGCTTCAGTTGTCAAGTTTTCCAGATGATATCTTTCAGCCCGGCTGAGATGTTTTTGTAGAACTGAAAAGGACAAAAGACGGTGGAAAATTCTTAGCTTAAGCTTTAAGTTCAATAGATCATCTAGATGGTAGGGTGTTTCTCTCGAGAAATTATTTTATGCGGAGGCTGGACGGAGAACACCGTCTAGAGACCAACTAGAATGCACCACGCCAGCGGTACCGAGCAGCAGTACTGAGCGAATGGATGATGTAGAGCATTTTGATTGGTCTCCGGACGGCATTCGATGCCCACACAAAATAATTAATGGTTTATCACGCACCTTATGAAATTCAAGAGTGTCACCTCTGGCCTTACGGACCTCTACCATGTTTAATGATGGAGCTACTTCGAAAACCTTCAGAATCAAATAGGGAAATCAATATTTGGATTTCTGAAATCAACTACTGAGTTGCGACAAATCAAATGAAATGGTTCAAAGAACATGCCTGTGTTGCAATGGCTAAAGGACCTTTCCTTCCACTTTTTTCGCCTTCCAGTTTCAACTGAAAGGAAGAATTTTGAATAATCAGCAGCAGTCGATAATGAACTTGCAGTAGTGGCAATAATAGGAATAAGACCTCTTAATTCATGGTCAAATGTTTGATGCTCAAACAGAATATTCAAGAAAAATGTTTGGAATTTAGCTATCGAAAAAGAAAGCATACGGCAGGAGCGTGGAATACCTTGTAATTTCGTTTCTCGGAATTAAAGCCCAAAGGTTTGGCAGCTTCTTCTATCTTTGAAAGTATTTCTTCAGCAGGCAGTTTTGATGCGAATCTTGTTTCCCGTTGAACAAGACCCTGCGCAACAGGCACGAAGACAACATATTCATTTTAAGGAAATGACGTTGGAAAGAAATCTACAAAATGTCCTAAAATCCTCTTCTTCTTTTTTTCTTTTTTTTTTTTGGTATCTCGTTCATTGATGTATAAAATTAAAAGTAAAAATACAGGGAAAGGGAGCTAAGAAACTCCAAAGTCAAAAATTAATAACACTCTAAAGGAGTCAAAAAAGCAAAAGCTCACCCAATAGAAAAGAGGGGGAGACCAAAAAAATTAACAATGAAAAAAGCATTACAGCAAAAATGCAAAAATGGCAAAAACCTAGACTCAGGGATTCAAGTTGGCATGCAAATCAGATAGCACCGAAGGCATAGAGACCCTTGGTTGCCGAAAGGCCATTCAAGGGGTCGACCTGAAAAATTACCCGAGGTAGTCATCATCATCCAAGGATTGAAAAAAACCCCTCAATGTCCAAAATCGATAAAGAAATCATCATAGAATGTACTCGATAAACAGGTTTCCAGTAAGAACGAAGAAATGATCCAGAATGCACCAGGGAAGCAGAGCTAATATGAATCTATAACCATAAGGCAATAGAGCAGGTTGATCGGAGAGGAGAAATGCAAAGCAGACAGGAGAAATGACCAAAAATTAAGCCCTCACAAATCAGGCTCAAGCAAAACCAAGGTCCCCCAACAGGCACCATATCACAGTTAAAAGCATATCCAACAATAAATCATTGTTTTCCCATTAGAAATTTTAAGAAAAGTTTCTTTCTTAACTTTGTGATAGACAGTAATATAAGAGGAGGTAGTACAACCACATTTTTTATCATTTCTTTCCCTCTATTAGTACGAATTTATAATATAAGTGGAGACTCTATTTACTGAGCCAACGGATAATGATATAAGATACTGATACTGATACTGATACAAGACTGAAAAAACACCATAATAGCCAGGGCTTTTACTTGTTGAGAGTGATCACTGAAAAGCATGTATTTCATCATTGTTTTCATTATTGTACGAATTTATTACTACTGTACGGATTTATTGATATTGTACGGATTTATCGTTACTGTACAGATTTACTGTTACTGTACGATTTCACTGTTATTGCATTACTATTTCAATCACTGGATTGTTACTGATACAGACACTGATAAAGGCATTGATACCACTGAGTCACTGTACTGACATTATGCATGTGATACACTGAACATGTGATATAGATTAACTGTAGTGCATGTGATACACTGAGCACGTGATATTGAATAACTGGAATTGCAAATGTATGTTTTGATATGATTTTACTGCATTGATTGATTCTAACTGTCTCGAACGATGTTACGATTTTATTTCATTGATTTGATTGCAATAGTCATTAATGATGTATCGATTTGATGCTTTATATGATTTTATACCGACTAATATTATTGACCCGATGATTTCTTTATGGGTTTAACTGATATTACAGATACGACGATTTCTTCATTGATTTAACTGATATTATTGACCCGAAGATTTCTCTATTGATTTGACTAATGTTATAGATACGACGACTACTGTAGAGATTTGACGCACGTACTGATTCGTAGAGCTTTACGGACTTCTATACTGTTTACTGATTCTTCTACTGTCGATTGTGGATTTTACTGTTTTTGAATTGATACTGATTATGCATTGATTCCTATTTCTGTATTGATTTATGTTTCTGCATTAACTCAATGATCATGTGAAAGTTATTGCTATGATTTGACTGATTGACATGCATATTGTTTCTGCACCGTGCTTTGATTTCAGTTGTAGGTATTTGGTGACCTGTTGGGCTTTTTAAGCTCATTATATATGGTTAATGATTTAAGGTCAGGGCAAGGGAGTAGGAGTGTGAGGTTGATCAGGATTCTTCAGGTTATGTTCTTTTTTTTATATAAGAGTAGGAGTGTGAGGTTGATCAGGATTCTTCAGGTTACGTTCTTTTTTTTTATATAATTATTCTTTTTGTACTCAGGACAGAATGGATACGTGATAATTATAAAGATCCTAAGTATTGTAAATGACTTTTGAGGAATGAATAATAAATGTTTACATTACGTTTTAAATTATAGAATATATTGTACTGATTTTACTGATGAATGGCATAGATAGCTCTGGTAAGTTGATGGTTTAAAGGATTAATTCTTCCAAGTCAGATCCTTGGGGCGTCATAGAGAAAACGTGATGTGATGCTCTAGCTCCCCATCTTCCCAAATTGGGGGCCCAAAGATAGCAAAACAATCAAGATTTCTCTATGCGGCAATGGAGAGCTGAGGCGGTGTTGTGCAGTTGCATTAGCAACGACATGTTTTCATTGGTTTCTTAGTGTTTCTCAAGAACTCGATAAAACTTTTTGCTCTTCTCATAATTGCCTCACGCTTTTCTAAGTCCTCCCTTCTTGGCAATTGATTTTAACATATTAATTATTTTATGAAATGTATATACAATGCATTTCATGCTTAAATAGTTTGTGTAATTAATATTCCTTTTATACAATAACAACATCAAGCCTTTATCTCATTGTGTGAGTCGGCAACTTGAATCTTTTTCCTCCATTGTGTCTGTTAATAGTCAAATTCTCATTTAAATCTAATAAAGAAATGTCATTTCTAATATTTTCTAACCAAGATTTTTTAGGTCTACATCTATCTTTCTTAACATAAGCTAAATCTAATACATCTACTTTCCTAACCGGGTCATTAGAAGGTTGTTGTTTTATGTAACCAAATCATCTAAGGCAACTCTCTCTAATCTTATCTTCCACTGGAACTACTCCAAACTATTCACGTATATGCTCATTTCATATCCTATCTCTAAGAGTAAAACCACTCATTCACTTGGGCATCCTCATCTCTGCAACACTTAACTTAATATTATGCTTCTCTTTTAACGGCCAACATTTTGTACCATAAAGCATTGCAGGTCTCACCACCATCTTATAGAAATTTTCCTTAAGTTTGAGGGGACTTTTCTATCACACAACACGCCCGATGCATTCCTCCACTTCAACCATCCAACTCGAATTCTACTAATAATATCTCCATCTATTCCACCATCACTTTGAACGATAGACCAAAGATATCTAAAACGTGTAATCTTATTAATTACAAGATCGCCCAAAGTTACAATCCCCCCACGAGATCTATTACTATTAAAATCAAACTCCATATATTTAGTTTTAGATTTACTCAAATGAAAACCTGTAGACTCTAAGATTGACCTCCATAAATCAAGTTAACCTTCAATAAGAATATCATCCACAAAAAGCATACACCGGGGTACAACCTCTTGCAAATGTCTAGTGCGAATATCCATGACTAAAGCAAAAAGATACGGGCTCAAAGCTTATCCTTGATGTAATCCAACTGAAATAGGAAAATAATTGGTCAAACCACCTTGTGTTTGAACAAGTAACAACTCCTGCATATATATCCTGAATGACTTAAATATAAGCAATATTCCTTCTATATTCATCAATAATATATGTAAACAATGTTCATTTCACATCATGTCTTTATTCATGTATATTATAAATAGGGAAGATTGCAACTACTGTAAATTCTAAATTTGTTAACATTTCTGGAAGGCTAGAAGGGTAAACTTATGGTCAAATACATTAAAACATTATTTTCCTAAGCTCAAATATCTTAAATTAAGTTATTTTTTAAGTTAACCAAGCTAACTAATCATTTTGAACTCATAAATTAAAATTTGCTTGCAATCCCTAATTCTTGTTAACCACACATCAAAAAACACCACCTGTTATCTCATCGCCTAAGCCCCCCATCTGCCATCCCATTGAAGCCCCCTCAGTAGGCCATCAACGAACTTCAAATGCATTTTATGCCTGCTTTGTAGTTTACTTTCTATAAAAACTGTCCTCAATTGAAAAAAAATTATATATTTTTAAAAAATCTAGATGTACTTTCTATGCGTAAGTTTATTTTTAACATGTTTTTGTATTTAAAAATAGTAAAAATGGGCAATTCATGTGACTTTCAGCCCTGCCCACAATAGATAAAAGTGCCTTCCGTAAGATTTCACCTTCTTAAACATTTTTTTGAAGCACAGGCTCATGCATTAAGGACAAAAAGGACGTCACAGAATTAACACTAGAAGAAGTAAAGAAATACCAAAATCAAATTGCATGGACAAAGATCATTTGATCAATCCAAGAAATGGACATACCATCTGCTTCTCAAACAAGCTTCCAAGATTTAGACCTTGGGATGTAGAAATAAGCTCAAATGCATTCATCTGAGATGGTCTTTCTAGTCGCTGCTCAACAACAAGATTCGCTGACTCCTGCAAGTTTAAAAATTAAAAATATTGCATCAGAGGTTCAGTCTCAAGTCTTACAAAAAATAAGGTAGACTGAAAGAATTGCTAAGTATTACCCCCGATTCATCAAAGATCGCATTTACATCATCAAGACTAATTTCAGCTGTTTCAAAACTTGGAGGTTGGTATCCCTTCTTAAACCACTCATTTTCGATCACTTCTGCCATTGTCATGCGCTGCAGAACACAATTAAGCGGATTTTTTTTTTACTAGTTTAAAGAATTTAGTTCAATAGTTCATTATTACCAATTGCGAGATAAGAACCTACAGTTTGGGGATTAGGATCCAAAATCCTCTTAATAAGCTTCTTCACGCTGGTGGAGAACCAAGCAGGACATGTAAAATCAGCTTTAAAGATCTGCACCAGCCACCACATAACACAAAATGTTAATCATGTTTACCTTACAATATTCATATCGCAAAAGAACAATTTCTGCTCGACTAAATAGCTCACCTTCTTATAAAGTATCATTAGGTTAGAATCTTCAAAAGGCAAATAGCCTGCCATTAGAATAAAAAGGATAACACCGCATGACCAAAGATCTGCCTTGGCTCCATCATAGCCTTTATTGTTTATCACCTGCATATAACCTAAGTTATAATACGAAAGAAAAAGAACGAGATGGAATGAAAAACCAAAAGCAAAATTGCCTAGTCCTAAATATACCTCTGGAGCAACATAATTTGGTGTTCCACATGTTGTGTGAAGCAGTCCATCTTCCTACACAGCAAATATTGTCATTTGTTCTCAGTTAACATAAACATGAGAAGGGCAATTTTCAAGAACCCATGATGATAGCTAGTCCAGTCAGCTGGTCTTTATCATGCTTAAGCAGCCATCAAGACAACTAATGAATTTAAACTCAATCATTTAACTTACACGAACTTGTTGAGGAAGTGCACTTAGTCCAAAATCCGAGACTTTGAGAAGCCCATTGACATCTAAAAGCAGATTTTCTGGCTGTCATAATGACCACATTATAAACTATATTAAGACAAGATTTCCATTCAAAATGAACTGTTATAAGAATACTTGAAGTTACAGAAGATGCAAACAGAATTGGCAGAATGAATTGTTATAAGAATTCGCAAAAGGTACAAAAGTTGCTAACAGAATTGGAAAATGTGTGTGTGAGAGAGGAGGGAATGAAGGGCACCTTTAGGTCCCTGTGATAGACGCCCCTGCTGTGACAATAGTCCACGGCATTGATTAGCTGTTGAAAGTACTTCCTTGCTTCATCCTCCTTCAATCTTCCACTGCTTGCCTGACACATGAAATACAAGATATTGCCAAAAAGATGGCAGGAAGAAAGCTAATCCTTTGCATTAAAATGAATGGTGATTTAATCTGAATCAATACAAGTTAATCTTCTTACAATCTTGTCAAAGAGTTCACCACCTGTCACAAGCTCCAATACAATGTATATCTTTGTCTTGCTTGCCATCACCTGCATAAGCATTAAATTAGCAATTAAAACAATTAGATAATGCCGCCAATTAATTTTATAGAAAACATTATGTAAAAGGCTTCAGATTAAGATATTAGAGCATATCTAGAGTCTGAAACTCATGAATACAATGAAGTCTAAAAACAGCAGCACATTATGCATGAAGAAAACACAGAATCAGTGTGCACTCGCTGATTCCCTTTATGCCTTATGAAGCAATAAGAAAACGAACCAAGCATACAAATGTAGGCTTTGTTTGGGACGGCTTTCTTTCTGCTTTTTAGTTAAAAAATTAAAATTTCTATATTAAAAAGTTGCTTTAAGAAGAAGTCCTCCCCAAACGAAGCCGTAATCATGCCCTACATGAAAATCTAAGGCCATAAAGAAAAAGAAAAACCAAAAAAGGAGAACCAACCCAGCATTCACAAGAAAGTCCTTCCTTACCTCATACATCCTTATTACATTTGGGTGTCTAATCAGCTTCATGGTAGAAATTTCCCGTTTGATCTGCAGGTTACAAGTATGCAAATTTAATCACAACATAAGTCTCTCATAAAAATTTCAAGAGTATTTTTGAATGGCTTCTAGTTGCATCAGAGGACTTGTTGAATAGCGATAGAAAATGCTCCAGAAGAAAAAAGATGTTTAAGTAAAGGTGGCTGGGTTTCAAAAAGCCATAGGGATTCATGAAAAATACATTTTGCATGTCAACAAATAAGAAATAGAAACTTGAATTTGCCTAAGGAATTAATGTTTGCTTTCAGAAAAGGTCTGAACATTATATATTTTGATGTCTCAGAATGAGATAAAGGCTAAGTAAGGTGCAACAAGTAAACACATTAGGAAAGGAAAAAAGTATCACATATCTAGCTCTATGTGCGGACTATATGAGTGTACAGTTGTATACTGGTTGTATACTCAATAGGCAGCTGTGTATTCACATAATCTGCATATAGAGCTATGCACGTAATATTTCTCTTGACAAAGATGCTTCAAATTGGAATCTTAAATGTGAAAGAAGAGAAACCAACGTGATAAAGATAATGAGAAATTAATCAAAACCTCAAAGTAAAAGGAAAATATTGAATGAAGGAAAACCATAAGATCCATAACTATACCTCTCATTCTCTCTCTCTCATATATATATATGAGAGAGAGAGAGAGAGAGAGAGAGAGAGGTTGGGAGATAGACTACTATTCTTTATGCCAAAAAAAGTTCATTCTCTACATAATAATTACTATATTCAATTGTGAGACCAAGATTATTGATGTTGATCCAAATCAAAGAACAGCTTAGAAATAAAATTTGAACACTTTTTATAAAGATTTAAGCGTTGATCAAATTTGATAAAGAAATAGATGATTTTTTATGTCCATAATTAAAAATACAACTTCTATATAATTTTTTTTATTCAAATCGATTGAAATTGTTCCAGATGACTTTTAATACATACTCACAAAGATCTATATGATTTAAGTATTTCTACACAATTAATAAATTATCTATCTTATCCATATTGTTTGTTATGTAGCTATTTTAATATACTTGATGGCCAAAGCATAATCAAATCTTCTTAGAATTTGATAAAATTTGGCAGGATAATAATTTTTATGATAAAGTTTAAGGAATCATTTTTATTTTCTAACTTGATGTTACATGATTGAAAAATATGTCAAAATCTCTCTCTCTCTCTCTCTCTCTCTCTCTCTCTCTCTCTCTCTCTCTCTCTCTCGGCAGAACAAGATAAATTAACACCGTAATTTTCTAGGAGGGATCTACATCAGAGATATGAGTGATAAAAGGAGGAGCCGAAAAACACTTCAAAATACGGTGGCTGTAATCTGAAGGTTTTACAGAAGACTTACAAAAATCTACCATATCTTATTAAACTGAAGAGTGTGTGCATCAACTGGAGAAGTAAAAAGAAAAAAATTACCGTCTGAAATAACTCTTGAAACCAGAAAACAAAAAACAGAATATAAAGCTAGACAAATAAAACATGTAGGCTGTATCAAGAGCCAAAATCATACACAATCAGAACTAATACCATCATAAACATAACAACCACTCCAGGAAAAAACCAAAAATTTAACCGAACAGTAACAATTGCTCAACGGGAAAAAGAAAATTAATTTTTTTTCAGACCAGCGATCAGAGAATGAAAAAAGTAAGACCTGGCCAACCATCTTGTGAAGGAGGACCTTCTCCTTGTCCAGGATCTTGATGGCAACATTCTCTCCTGTCTCCACGTTCCGCGCAAACTTGACCTTCGCGAACGAACCCTCCCCCAAAGTCCTTCCTATCTCATACCTCCCCACCCGCATTCTCGCTGTCGAGCTCATCTCTGTCCGTCTTTCCCCCAACCCTTCACCTTGCCGCCCAATTAAACCGTAATTCTTCGTTTTCACAACCTCTTCTTATTGCAAGGCTGCCAATCTTGCCCCTTCACCACATTCATATCTCCCGTCCTGTCAAATCTCGCCCTCACTCTACTAAATCGGGGAAGAACTGATAAAATCCCTCACAGATCTAAAGTCGAACAAATATGACACTTTCGACGGCGAAGTAGGACAGCCAAGCACGGAACGGAGACAGAGGAAAGAGGACGGTTCCCCAGTGGGTCGTAGAAGCCATCGGCAAACGCTACAAAGAGACTAAGAGAGCGAACTTATCTCTCTCTGTCTCTCTCGTAAACCTTCTTTTGTGCGAGGAAATGGTAAGGGGCGTCCGAGCAGGACGAATATGTCAGCCGGCGGCTTTGAATACGAGAGCCTCCTGGCTACTAGTAATTCTGCACGATGCAGGGATCTCACCGCGGTCAATAACAGCAAACACAGTGTCGGTCGCTCTGCGTGAAGACATCTGTATGTGCTTGCAGCCTACTCATTAAGAAAAATGAAGAGAGGATTTTTTATCCATAAAATTATATTGAAATGATTGAAATTAATAAATTTTTGTTGCTCAAAATATTTCTATATACTATAATAAAGATTGAAAATTTTATTCGAAAATTTTCATATTTGGTTTGAATATGATTCGAAACATGAATCAAATAATATCTTTTTATTTTGTATTCATTATTTTATATACAATTAATTCATTTGAATTAGTTTATTATGCATGAAGATGTATATTCTAATAATACATGTTGAGAGGTATTATACTCCTCAAATCATATATAAAAATTGGGATATTGATTGCTAAAACTTGTCAAGCTTAGGTGACAACGCTTAGTACACTCCTTAAATATTCAAAGATAATGATATAGATGGGAATATGTCACTCACATTCATTACTAATTAGAATCTTTTCAAAAAAAAAACATTCATTACTAAACGTGTAGACAAAATGATTCTGCATAGCTATATTCAATAAAGGAGAATATATATATATATATACATATACACACGCTCTAAGAAGATCATGACACTAAAAATTCTAGTGGTTTTTATGAGAATGACCAATATTTATTAAGGCAAGAGCAAAAATAATATCACTAATCAAATAAACATTACAAGCTTTTTACATAGAGAGAGAAGGGTGCTCTTATCATCATAGGTTATAAAAGACAAAAGTAGATTTATCTCTAGATAGATGAAGGAGCTGGGATGATCTTCTCTTATGAAGTGTGTACCCTCTCTATGTGTTTCTCTATTTATGCATGCTCTTCTTTCGTGTTGTATTCTTAAATTCTCCTTTTCCATTATTCTATCCCACATTACAGGCTTATCTCTCCCTACGTCTCTGAGTGGATGACATCATTGTTGGAACAAAGGTATGGCCTATAGATCATGATGAAGCGACATGGTGACAAAAGCTAAGCATTGATGCATGAGATAGGTTGATCACAGGATTGATGATGATGTTAGGGAACCTCGACGTTGACTAGGTGTAGTACGTGGGGACTAGAGTATGAATGGTACCTGAGAAAACGATTACTTAGGGGATTTTTTAACATGTCATATTTGTGGTAACATGCAACCCACACCCTGGTCAAGAAGATTTGACATGTATTATGTCCTTTGGTGACATTAAAGGATAGCATGGATACGTACAATAAAATTGATTCAGGTTAGGCTGGTGACAAGGGCTACTTTGGCTAAATAATTAAGGCTCCCAAAGATGACCTGCTATCAATAGGGGTATAGGGACGACGTTGATAACTGAGATATCCACCTCTCAGGAATAACTCTATATAAATGTTTTCTTTTTTTTTTTTAAATCTGTCTGACAATGATGAACCAGTTTGAGCCACTTGTGGAGTTCAATACTGTTGCGGGCTAAAATATACGTGGCGGTAGAGTTTGTAATTTTACGTCTGAGCGTTGTACAAATATTCAGCACACAAATAGGAAAGGAAAATGAACACCATGATTTTTACGTGGAAAACCCTGAAAAAAGGGAAAAAACCACGGGGCCGTGCCCAGTTGAAAAGTTCCACTAGTGTTGTGTGAATTACAATAAGTTGATTCGTCCCACAAGTCAGGACGGTCAGATTATAATGAATTTCTTCTGGATTGAAATTCAGTTACAAAGTTGTGCAGAATTCAAGCATTCTCCCGAATATCCGGCAGAATCCCGGCGTGTTCGGGCGGCGGGAAGAACTCCAGCGGTGGTCGAGGAGCTGATTCTCCTTCCTCTTCTCTTCTTCTTCTCTTATTATTCTTGTTTGGGTCCCCTCTCATGAGAAATGAGGGCTTTATTTATAGATTTTCTAGAGTGGCATAGCTTGTAAATATGTGTGAGATCAAGGGCAAATAGGGAGTGGTCGAATGGACGGCTGATATTGAATCCTTTGATCGTGCACCGTTCGTTGGATATTTGAAGGCCTTAGTGGTGTCGGAATTCGGCGATCTTGGTTTCGTTGAATTTGTCTCGTCGAGCCGCTCGATTCAACTATAAGCTCGTTAATATCGGAGACCTTTTGGTAACTCAAATTGTGGTACGAGCTTTCCAACAACATTTCGGGCGCTTGATTTGGGCTCATTTGGGCTCGGATTGAGTTGAATTTGGTGTCGTTGGGTTCGTATTTCCGGGATGCTCAATTCAGCTATAAGTTTGCAGAAATCGAAGTTCAGGTGATCCCGGATTTAATTTTTGAAGTTTCCAACTTGATTTTTGCCTCGACATTTGTGCCCGATCAAGATAATTTTTGCATGACGTATCAAATACAATTACTCTTTTTAAAATATGAATATCTAAATTTTCTCTCAAATCTAAAATCAAATTGTTTAGAAGCTATTAATACAAAATATTCAAAAAAACTCTTTAGTTAATCATTTTTAATTAGGAAATATATAGTGGATTATACACTTATGATCGTTGATTTTGAATATGCATTAGTTTCAATCATGTATATATAGTCAATTCTCTTATCACATTGGAACTAAGTTCTTAAAACAAATACAAATTATTTTAATTTAATTCAAACCTATGTATAATTATTAAAATATATCAATTATATTTAAATATGATGATAAATTATATACACATAATAATAAAAAAATCCTTTCATAAGCTTAATCATAATAAACAAATATGATACGGACAAAAAAATACTTTCATAATCAATATCAAAAAAGTACTTTCATAATAGATATTTAAATGAAATTAAAAAAAAAATCAATATTTAAATGTACAACTAAATTTAACTTAAAACCCATACATAATTTATTTAAAAATTTATAAATACAATCTTTTCGATCTTAATCATAATAAAAATATAATTGATATATCATTAAAAAATTACCTTGATTGGGCACGAATCTTGAGACAAAATCAAGTTGGAAACTTTAAAATCTCAACTTCGATTTCAGCAAACTTATAGGCGAATTGAGCGTATCGGAAATACGAACTCAACGACACAAAATTCGACTCAATCCGAGCCCAAATGAGTCCAAATTGAGGACCCGAAGCACTGTTGGAAGGTTCAAACCACAATTTTTATTACAGAACGGTTTCCAAACATGACATGCTTATAGTCGAATCAAGCGACTCGGTGAGACGAATCCAATGAGCCAAGATCGTTGAATTCTGACATCACTAAGACATTCAAATGTCCATCAAATGGTCCATGATCAAGGGATTCAACATCGGCCGTCCATCCTACTACTCCCCATTTACCCTTGATCTCTCACCTATTTACGGGCCATGCAACTCCAGAAATCTATAAATAGATCCCTCATTACTCTTGAAAATGAACCGGAGTAAGAGGAGAAGAAGAGAAGAGAAGGAAGAGAAGGAATAAGCTCCTCCTCGACCACCACCTGAGTTCCGCAGGATCACCGCCTGACGTCATTGCTCCGCTGGACCACCACTTGAGGCGCTCACCCTCGCCGGACAACCACTTGAGCCCTCACCTCCGTTGAACCACCCCCTAACATCATTGCTCCGCCGGACCACCACTTGAGGCCCTGAGTTTCGCCAAACCACCACTTGAGGTCCTCACCTCCGTCGGATCACCGCCTGACGTCATTGCACCGCCGGACCACCAGTTGAGGCCCTGAGCTCCACAGGACCACCACTTGAGGCCATTACTTCCACCAGATCACCACTTGAGGCTCTGTGCTCCGCCGGGCCAACACTAGAGGCCCTTGGTTCTGCCGGACCACCATCTGACTCCCAAAGTTCTGTCAAACCACCACCTGAGGCTCGAAATTTTGTCAGACCGCCACCTGAGGCCCGAACTTCTCCCAGACCACCATGTGACGCCCGGACTTCTACCGGACCACCACCTGAGGCCTGGACTTCTGCCATACCACCACATGAGGCCCGACTTCGGTTGGACCACCACTTGATGCCTGAAATTCTACTGAAGTATCACTCTACTACTACGGTCTTTCTAACCTGGGTTTCATGCCAACTATCGCTTTTCAGACCCCTATCTCATTTTGACTTATGGTCTTTTCGACCTCTATCACCTACTACAGTCATTCTGACCTACATCGCCATGCAACGGTCTTTCTAACCCCGGTCTTCTGCCTACTATAATATTCCTGACCTCTATCATATCAACTATGGTCCTGTCAACCAAACAAACATGTCTATATTGATTATTGTAACTCCCACAATGTAATGTACTCTATATGACATACATTTGTTGCATCAAGCTTATGGCTTCTCCCAAGGAATGGCCTCATTTGTAATCGACTGCAAATACTAGTTGATTCATTCAAACTGGGTCAGACCACATGATTTTTCTCCCGACCCTTTTTAGGGGTTTTTCACGTAAAAACTCTGGTGTCTCTTATGAACGCTACACTCTCTCTTATCTGCTTGTGTGCTGGATCATACAACGCTAAGAAATTAAACTATATATTTCTCTACCGTCATGAATATTCCAGGACGCAACAATAATAACGATCTAAATCAAGAAATTATTAACTAAATTAATATTTTAAAGGAATCATTAAGTTTATTTAAGAATTGATATATAATTACTTTTATAAATTATGCACATACAACAAAATCTTAATCATAATACATAAACATAATATAGTTCTAAATAAGAAAATAACTATCCAATAATATAAATAAATTTGATTTAAATCTTACCATAATTAACTTAATTAGTTATTGCATCAAAATAATATAGTTTTTTTATAAACTTAATAATAATTAATAAAAATATTAAGAAAAAATAAGAGAATAAGCAACATAATTAATATTTCAAAAATAAATTATTAACATAGATCTGGCATAGAAAAATATAAAATATTAGAAATAAAAGTGGATCTAACATACAACACTTAAAAAAAAATTTGGATCTACCAAAAAATTAAAAAGAAATTATTATCCTAATTTTTTAACATGAA